AGGGGCAGCCCTCGTTCTCAGCTCCATGTTTTAATTGGTGCCTGGAGGAAAGCATGACGTCCCCATCGCTGTCCCCAACAGTGACACGAAGGCTGGGGGCACGGCGCAGAATCGAGGTCTGGGGACACGGCACAGGATCGATGGCGAGGTGGCCCCAGGCTTTTGGCAACTGGGGCGTGAACGCACAAGCGGAGTCGCCCCGAGTTCAAGGGCGGACGGACGGTGCAGCCCGGAGCTGCCGGGGCCGCCTGGCACGGCACAGCCCGTGCCGTGGGGCTGGGGCCAGCGAGGAGCGAGCGGGGAGGGGGCTGCTCCAGCCTGGGGGGCTCACACCACCCTTCCTGCACCCCAGCCCCCTCGGGAGCAGCACCGGCCTCGGGTGGGCTGCAGCACCCGCTGCCTCCCGCCTGCCTGCCCCCCGCAGAGGGTGCAGCTCGGTCACCCCGTCCCCTCCAACGGGTCCCTCCGGTCCCTTCCCAGGTCCTACATCTACCAGAAGCGCTGGGTGAAGCTCGATGCCGACTACCTCCGCTATTTTGACAGTGAAAAGGTGAGTGGGGAGGGAGGATTCGGGGACTTGGGGTGAGAAGGTGGCGGAGGAGCTGCCCCAGTGGGACCACATCCCTCCGGGCATCCCGGCTGTGAGATTTGGCCGTGGCAAGGGGCAGCATCCCGGGGAGCAGCGGTGGATGGGTGCTGGGGTGATGCCGGCACCGGGGTGGGATGCGGGATGCTTGGAGCCTCCCGGACAGGGATGCTCTCAGCATCACGAGCCCGGGGCGGTACCCATCCCATCTCCCTGAGGCCATGGTGGTGAGCAGTGTGTCTCTCCCCTGCCCTGCCCTGCCCCAGGACGCCTACTCCAAGCGGTTCATCCCCGTCTCCTCCATCTCCCGCGTTGCCGGCGTCGGGGACCAGAAATTCGAAGTCATCACCAACAACCGCAACTTCGTGTTTCGGGCCGAGAGCGACGGTGAGCGACGAGGGTCCCTGCTCGTGGGTGGCCCCGGCTAATCCCCCTCCCCTGGCCCAAGGGATGAGCCCTGGAGGCTCCTGGCCCCGGGCTGATCCTGACCCGTCTCCCCTCTGGCCCCGCAGCGGACCGTAACGAGTGGATACGGACCCTGCAGCAGATTGCGGAGGAGCGGAAGAGCAAAGCTCTGGAGAGGACATTGGTGTCGCCGACCACCCAACCGCGCCGCCGCCCCACAGCCAACAAGCGGCTTCCTGGAGCTGCGGGGGTTTAAGCACAAGCTCTTCGTGGCGGTGGCCGGGGACAAAGTTTTCCTCTACAAGAACGCAGAGGTGGGTGGCTGGGGGGGGGCCGGGGTGCCATGGGAGACCCTGATGCCGTTTCGAGGGGGACCCCTTCCCTTCACCTCCACAGCCTAAGCAGAGCGGCAGTGAGCCGGGGCACCCCGGGGCTGCCACCCCCCAAACAGGGACGG